TACATAGATAAACCCTTTACTGAAGTACTGTCTTGAATTCTGAGCACATTTTAGGATGAGTGTTGCAGTATTAAAAGACACTGCAGAGGAAATTTACTAAACTGGTAGCAGGATGCAGGGCTTAGGTTATTTGGAGAGACTTGAAAAACTTGCCTTTTTCACCTTAAGAGCAAAGAGATTAAGAGCAAATGATGAAAGTTGTTTTTTGTTCATGGGATGTGGAGTCAGTGGCCAAATGGCCAAAATGAATTGTTCTGGCCAACATCTGCTAAAAGATTAAAAACTGAAAGAACTGCAGATGCTGTAAATCAAGAACAAAAACAAAGTTGCTGGAAAAGCTCAGCAGGTCTGGCAGCATCTGTGAAGAAAAAAATTGGAGTTAACGTTTCAGGCCCTGTGATCCTTGAGTTCTGAGGAAGGGTCACTGGACCCGAAACATTAACTCTGTTTATTTCTTCACAGATGCAGCCAGACCTGCTGAGCTTTTCCAGCAACTGTGTTCCTGCTAAAAGATTACCAGGTTGTTTTCATACTGCAATTTTTAAGAGCTTGCTGATCATAAATTGGCTGCAGCATTTTATGTTATGACAGCGACTATACTTCAAAGTATTTATTGGTTGTGAAGGGTTTGAGAGGTTCTCTGGTATAAAGGGTATTACATAAATGCAAATTTTTTTTTTCTTTAATTGAACTCGAGAAGAAGTGAAGACACACCATTTCCCAAGTCTGGAGTATTTGAATTGAAAAGAAATTTTAAGGTTAAGGTGTTTCTGCTGCTCTTGTGTTTCTAGATATGCTGGTGGTAAATGTTTCAGATTGTGAATGTGGCACCAATCAGGTATCCTGAACGGTGTTAACCTTCTTTTAAATTTATTTATTCATGGGATGAGGGCATTACTGGCTAGGTCAGTATTTATTTCCAATGCCTAACCAGAGGGCAGTTAAGAGTCAACCACATTTCTGTGGGTATGGAGTCACAAGTAGGCCAGACCAGGTAAGGATGGTAGTCTCCTTCCCTAAGGGACATTAGTGGACTGGATGGGTTTTCCCCCCAACAATCAGCAATGGATTCATGAGCATCATTAGACTCTTAATTCCAGATTTTTGTTGAATTGATGTGATTTGAACCTGAGTCTCTGGATTAACAGTCCAGCCATAATACCACTAGGCCATTGTCTCCCCAGTGTTGTTGGGGAATATTCAATCACACTTCTGACCTATATCATCGAGAAAGTGGAAAAACTTTGCGGAATTCAGAGGTGTGCGTTTGTAGCCATGGTATTTATGTGGCTGGTTCAGTGAAGTTTCTGTTCAGTGCTAATTCCTGGAATGTTGAGGGTGAAAAGCCAATAATGGCAATGCTATTACATGTTTGAGGGAAAGTGTTTATGGCCTCTCTAGTGGGAAACAGTCATTGCTTGAACTTGTGAGTATGATCCTTGCCAGTTATCTAAACAGGCCTCAATGTTGTCCAAATTTTAATGCATTTAGGCACAGACTGTTGTATGAAGAGTTGTAATGGAATTGAACATTGCAATCATCAGTGAACATCTCCACTTGTTATGATGATGGAAAGATCGTTGATGACACAGTTCAAGAGGGCTGGCCTTAGGAAACCAGCTCTGGGTCATCTGCTGCAAAGTCCTGGAGAAGGGATGATTGGTCTCCAAAAACTGCAACCATCTTCTTTTGTGCTATATATGCTTTCAATCAGTGGTGAATTTTCCATGATTCCCAGTCACCTTAATTTTTTTTTAGGGCTTCTTGATGCCAAGGGCAAGCAGTTACATCTCACCTCTGTAATTCAGCTCTTCTTCCCATATTTATACCAAATCTACAATAAGTTTTAGAGATGTGATCTGGTTGAACCGAAACACAACATCAGTAAGCAGTTTTTAATATGTGTTGCTTGATAGCATCGACAAAGACACCTTTCAAAATTTCTGATTGATAGACTGATTTGATATGTTCTAATTTTTATAAGTAGAATATACCTGGGGAATTTAATGTTGTTGGATAGATGCCAATGTTGTGGCTGAATTAAAGCAACTTGGCAAGAGATGCAGCTAGTTCAGAAGTACAAATCCTCATGACAGTAGCTGGGATGTTTACAGAGCCAAAGGATGTTGCTGTGTAGTGTGCTTAGCCATTTGTTGATATCATGTTATATTGATTGGCTAAAAATGATGGTGCTAATTTTAGGAATAGTCTGAAATGTATTATCATCTTGGTATGTCTGACTGAAGATAGTTTGCAAAGGTCTCAGCTGTGATTTTTGCACTCGCCTGAAAAGCTGTACCATAATTAAGATGAGATGTTGATTGACTCCCCCACCCTGCAGTCCAAATTGTCTGCCACCACTTACAATTGGATGTGAAGGACTGTAAAGTTCTAATATGATCCATTAGTTATGGAATCAATTACTTTTAATCTTCAACATGCTGCTTCCACTGTCCAGCATGCATGTAGTCCTGTGTTGTATCTTCAACAGGTTGGTACCTAATTTTCAGCTACACCCACTTTTGTTGTATGTTTCTGCACTCCCCTAGCTTGATAGTAACTTACAGAGTGAAGAATGTATCAGGCCATGAGCTTAGAGATTTGTATGGGAAACATGATTCAGTTGTTACTGGTCTACGGCATCTATCTGAAGTTTCAGTTTTGAGATGCTAGATCTTTTCTGAACCCAGCCTGTTTGACGTAGTGGTAATTCTATATAACAATGGAGGTCTCCTCAATGTGAAGACAGGACTGTGTCTCCATAAGTGCTATGCACTGATCATATATGTCATGGAGTCACAGATGAATGCATTTGTGGTAGGTAAATTTGTGAGGACCAGGTCAAATCATTATTAGCCTCGTGTTGGCTCCCTCATGACCTGCTGCTACATGCTCAAACCGGAAAATACATCCTTCAGGTTTCTGCCAGTATGGTTACTTGTAGTTGTACTGTGTCATTTTTGGTGATGTACATTGAAGTCCTAACACTGATTCCATTTTGTTGAATAATTCATATTATTGCCATTTTTGAAAGGGTCTTAATAAACCTTTTATTATCAATACTAAAAAATATTTTATTGCATTTAGGATTTATTTTAAAATGGTATCAATTTTAGAAGTTCACTAATTAATTTCACCAGTTGCTTTTTTTCCCCTGAAACAAAATAATTTTTGAAATACTGGAGTTGGAATTTTTTATGTATTTTTGTAACTTAGAGACTTTCAACATATAAAATTTATTTTAAATACCTTAAAATAGTAAAAATGTAAGATATCTTGATCGGGGTTGAAAGATTAGTCGCAACATGTTGGAACTATTTGCTGATCTGTTTTAATATTAAATATTTTATTCACTCGTGGGATGTAGATGTTGCTGTCTGGCCAGCATTTATTGCCCATCCCTGCTTAGCCTGGAGAGGTTTTGATGATTTGCCTTCTTGAACCACTGCAGTCCATGTGCTATTGGTAGGCCCACAGTGCCATTAGGGGGGGATATTCCAGAATTTTGACCTAGCAGCAAAAAAGGAATGGCAATATGTTTCCAAGTCAGGATGTTAAGTGCATGGGAGGGGAACTTGCAGGTGGTGGTGTTCCCATGTACCTGCTGCTATTGTTCTTTTAGATGGTAGCGGTCATGGGTTTGGAAGGGTCTGTGTTTGGAGCCTTTGTGAATTTCTGCAGTGCATCTTTGTAGATATATATTGCTACCACTGAGTATAGGTGGTGGAGGGAATGAATATTTATAGATGTGGTGCCAGTTAACTGTGCTGTTTTATCCTTGAATGTTGTTGGAGCTGCTCTCATCCAGGCAAGTGGGGAGTATTCCATCACACTACTGCTTTATATCTTGTAGGTGGTGAACAGGCTCTGAGGGGTCAAAACGTGAATTTACTCACTCTAGGATTCCTAGCCTCTGACCTGCTCTTATAGCCACAGCATATCTATGGCTGGTCAGTTTCTGGTCAAGGGTAATGCCCAGAATGTTGATGTGGGGTGTTCAGTAATGGTACTGCCATTGAATGTCATGGGGTGATGGTTAGTTTTTTTGTTGGGGATGATATTTCCCTGATACCAGGACAGTGTGAACGTTGCTCATTATTTGTCAGCCTGAACCTGTATGTTTTCCAGGTCTTGCTGCATTTGACCGTGGACTGCTTCAGTATCTGCGGAGTCACGAAGTTGCTTAACTCGAATTACTGGACAACTGAAAAATGCACCTAACAACTTTATTTGCAGCTTGTCGGGAGTCAGTCGTGTCTTGCAGATCACCTTTTAGTAACATTTACGAATAGTGCTTGTAAAATGGTTTAATTGTTGTGTGTAAACTTTTTTTTTAAAAAAAATGTAGCTTGTAATAATGACTGAAAGTTCATTTATGCCCCGAAACAAAGTATCCAGTTGTGCCAGACAGCTTAGGTAAAGTCCAGCTTGATGACGGATTTTGGCAGTAGTAGTTTCTTTCGGTTCTCGTTCCTTCACATCCCGAAGCTGGACTACAACATCCAGAACGTGTTCACGCACATTGCCTTACTCTCCATCTCTGGGTGTGTGCTCCTTTGGCGTTAACGTGTACACCGAGGCACCAGTTCACCTCCCATGGCAGCTGATTATATACATGCCCACTTTACAACATGGCATACCCGTTCTCGTGCCGTCGTCCTTCAACGAACGCCGCAAAGTGTCGAGCGATGAGCCTTACCCTACCCCACTCCCGGGCCGCTGGCCGTCGTGTGCCGCCAGAGCCGTTAGCGGCCGTCGGCGCGAGCGTTGTGCCTCGTGCGGCGCCTTTTGGGAGGGGCCTGCCGGGAGCGCCGCTGATTGGCCGAGGAGCGAGGTTCTTTGTCAGGGATTTAAACGGGCGGGTTGGTGCCCGGCAGCTAGAGCCCAGGTCAGGTAAGGGGCGTCAGGAGGTAGAGGGAGGGCATCACTTAAATGACGGTGGTCAAGGGGAAGAACCAGCACTAGCTGCTCATGTGTGCGTTCCAGAGGTTGGCTACTTCAGCGTCAATAACGCAAGGTTTGAAATAACTCCGTTGTCTCCTTTTAAAATGAGATGATCGTGTCTCTTTTTTTCATATCTCTTTATGGAGGTGAGGGGTTGTTGCGCTGTGACACTTCGATGTGTTGAATAGTCGACCATGCTGTATTATCTAATGATTCTGGGTGTTCAATAACCCAGCGATTCTGGGTGAAAGTAACGCTGCATTGGATCCATTTAGCAATCATACATTATGGTTCCCCTGTAGTGTTTTGGAGATGGTTAATATCTCCTTAGTAAATAAGAGGTCAACTTAGAGGTAACAGAAGATGCTCGAACCAGAAACAGCAAAATATGCGAGGGCTGTGATCCAAATGTTACTAGATTTGCATACTGCAGTAGTTAAAGGCACAAGGGTAATGATTCTATCAACAATAAAAAAAAATCTTCAGTTGCTACCTTAAATCATAATTTCGTAAAAGGAAGAAAAAAACTTTTCACATCCCTATGAAGTTCTAAAGAACATCATGCTGAGGGATTATCTTTTAAAAGGAAGCATCTTGCATTTGTCCAGTGCATTTCATAACCTTCGGTTGTTCAAAGCATATTGACAGTCAGTAGAGTGCAATTTGAACTGCAGGTACTGCTGTAAAATAGGCAACATGGTAGCCACTGTGAAAGCAGAGCAAGTGTCCACAATACAATGTGATATTGCCTAGATGCTTTGAACTGTAATCAGTGTTTTTGTAGTTTTGAATAGTTAATTTTCCATATTTTTACAAAGTTGATAAAGAGAAATCTTGGGGTAATTATTCACAGATCACTGAAGTCAGAGTTTGTGAATGAGAGATAGTAGGAACTGCAGATGCTGGAGAATCTGAGATAACAAGGTGTAGAGCTGGATGAACACTAGGCCAAGCAGTATCAGAGGAGCAGGAAGGCCTAGGCCCGAAACGTCAGCCTTCCTGCTCCTCTGATGCTGCTTGGCCTGCTGTGTTCATCCAGCTCTACACCTTGTTATCTCAGAGTTTGTGAATGGGATGGTTAAGAAAGCATATGGGATATTTGCTTTTATCAGTTGCGGCATAGAATATAAGAGAAGGAGATAATGTTGGAGTCGTACAGAGCATTGGCCAGGCCACAACTGGAGTACTGTGTACAGTTCTGGTCACCTCCTTGCAGGCAGGATGTAATAGCACCAGGGTGTTGCCTGCGATGGAAAAATTGAGGTATAAGGAGAAAGTAGGTAGGCTTGGATTGTTTTCTTCACAGCAGAAAAGTCTGAGTTGGGGGGCATGATTGAGGTATATAAAAATTGACAGGGTGAATAGAGAGCAGCTGTTCGCCTTGGTTGAGGGGTCAATCACAACAGAACACAGTTTTAGAGTAAGAGATAGGAGATTCAGAGGTGATTTGGGAAAAGAACATTTTCATTCAGCAGGTGGTGGGAATCTCGAATGCACTAACTGGGTAGTGGAGGGTGGAAACCTTAGAACCTTTAAAAATATTTGGATAAGTACTTCAAATATAATAATATTCAAGAATATGGGACAAGTGCAGGAAATTGGGATTAGTGCACTTTCCACAGAATCCCTACGGATTCCTATTGGAAACAGGCCCTTTGGCCCAACAAGTCCACACCGCCCCTCGGAGTATCCCACCCAGACCCATCCCCTATAACCTATCTAATCTACACATCCCTGAACACTATGGACAATTTAGCATGGCCAGGCCACCTAACCTGCATATCTTTGGATTGTGGGAGGAAACCAGAGCACCCAGAGAAAACCCACGCAGACATGGGGAGAATGTGCAAACTCCACACAGATGGTCGCTTGAGGGTGGAATTGAACCCAGGTCCCTGGTGCTGTGAGGCAGCAGTGCTAGCCACCGTGCAGCCCCAACTATTGGTAGGTATGTAGGTGCAGACTCAATCAGCTAAAGGGCTTTTGCTGCACTGCAAGAATCTATGAAATTATGCGATATATATTGTTTGTACAAAAATTCTGAATCTAACTTTTATTAAAGGTCTTCAAGTATGTAGTTAATGCATGTGAGAAAATGAACCAGAATTATTCAGTGTTACACAATACAATGTTTTGAAATGATTATAAGCATGTGGTATACAATAGGACACTTGGGATATTAAACATGAGGTGTGTTTGGGAAAAATATTTGCATGCTTCACACTTTTAACAGAATATTGCTTTCTCTTCTGAGTGTTGGCAGACCTGCTATACATTTCCAGCATTTTTGGTTTTATTTAGATTTGTACTATTTACTTTTATTTCTAAAATATTATTTAAGGGGAAACAAGTGTGAAAATAATAATGGGGCAAGTGAGTATTTTGTGCAAGTTCTGACAATGTAGGGAGCACTTGCTTTTTGTTTTGGTAACATAACATGTACCAAAGCATTTCCCAGGAATTTAGAGTCAGATTTTCCTGTGGGCATTGGATCCTTGCACCAGTGAGGTGCATGTACCTACGATTCTGAATTGGCAAATTAGCTGCTGCCATGCTTGCTTTTCAGTTGAGCAGGGTGGGAGGTCAGCTGGTCCTGTAAGCCCAAGCAAAGAGAAATTTTGATAGGTCTGTTAAATGAGGTGGGTGCTACTAAGGTGGGTGAGAGACCACAATGGCACAATAGGAGGATGTTACGGTTGGCACCAAAATTGCCCAACTTGGGACCTTAACCATTGTTACTGGAGTGGCAGCTGGTCCTATTCCCAGGCTGTCCCAGAAATGTTTCCTGGTGATTACAACGCATTGAGAAGCTGTCCCAATACAATCCCACCCATTTTCCCTGACTAGCCCCTCCCATCCCACCCCAGTCATAACTTCGCTGCTGTAGGGTTGGCAAAATTCAACCCTTAGTTGCTGTTGTAATGTAGAAAACAGATTTTGCAGACAGTAAGACCCTAACTGCAATGAAATAAGTAACCAGATAATTATTTTTGTGTATTTTAATGGATGATTCAAATATTTCAAATTCAGTTGAGTGGTTTTGAAGCACAGTCATAGTTGCACCACAGAGTTCAGGTTGGCACCTAAAGTTTAGATTATAACTATATTGGTTAAAGCAAAGCTATACAAATCAATTTAGGTGAAATCACAATAGATAACTGAACATTAAAGTCTAAATTATTTAAATAATCCTGATAGTGTCACAACTTGCCAGAAATGCAGTAGTTCATTTTCAGTGTTCTGATAGCTTTTGAACAGTAAATGAGTATTTTCACTGAACAGCAAATTATTTGTTCAACATTAACTTGTTTTCTGATGCTGTGGCTTCATTGTTAAAAACTTTGGAAATATTTCATTTAATTGTGATGAGCGGAGCACCCCCTTGTGGTGGCACTCTTTTGAAAATTTTTTTTGTCTAAGCTGATTTAGTTCATACCAGCCAGAGCAGAACTAGGAAAGTACAGTAGATCTTGAAATTAATGAAAAACATCAAACAAAATAATTATGAATTTAATAGAAACTAAAAAAAAACATTGGCCCTTTACTAGTAAGAGAATAATCATTGTAGTGATGAGGAAGTAAGCTTGAAGCCCGGATGGAGAAGGGAAGAGACACTGCCGTAATTTTCACAGAAGGGATAGTTAATTAGTTTGTAGAACTTTACAGCTGCATTAGAATTACAGTTACTGAAAGTTTCTCAGACTTAAATAATTACTGATACTCGACAGGAATGAAATAGCACTTGAATATATAGAGCAAATAAGAACAATGTAAATGCTGCAAGGTTAAATCACTAGGATGTTAAAAGATTATGGTATAATGGGGGAGCAAGGTGGCTCAGTGGTTTGCATTGCTGCCTCACAGTGCCAAGGACAACAGTTTGATTCCAGCCTTGGGTGGCTGTATGCATGGAGTTTACACATTCTCCCCGTGACTGTGGGAGTTTTGGTGCTCCCGTTTCCTCCCATTGTCCAAAAATGTGCAGAAAAGGTGGATTAACCATGGTAAATGTGGGGTTACGGGGTTAGCATAGTGGGCTGTGTTTGAATGTGGTGTTGTTCAGAGGGTCAATGCTGACTTGGGCTGAATGGCCTCTCAGCATTGTAAGGATTCTATGATTGTCACTGGGCTAGTAATCGAGTGACCCAAGTTAATGTTCTGGGGACATGGGTTTGAATGCCACCATATTTGAATCCAATCAATAAATCAAGTCTGGAATTAAAAAATAGTTCAAAGGTGACCATTATCAGTTGTCATAAAAATCTGTCTGACTTATTAATGTCTTTTATGGAAGGAAAATCTTCCATTCTAAGTCCACTTACATGTGACTTCAGGCCCACAGCAATGTGGTTGACTCTTAACTGCTATCTGAAATGGGCTAGCAAGCCACTCAATTGTTATAACACCACAAAACCTCTTGAAAGGAACGAAACTGGATGGACCATCCAGCATTAACCAAGGCTCTGGAAGTGACAACAGTATAAACCCCCTGTCAATCCTGCAAAGTCCTCCGTACTAACATCTGGGGGCTTTCCAAAATCAATGGAGTTGTCCCATAGGCTAGACAAACAACTGTCTGACATAGTCACACTCATAGGTTTATATCTTACAGACAATATTCCAGACACCTCCATCACATTTCCTGGGTTTATACTATTCCACGAAGAGTACAGACCCACCAGAGGATGTGGCACAGTGGTTTAAAGCTAGGAAGGAGTCGCTGTGCAAGTCCTCAATATTGAGTGGGCCACACGATATCTCGTGGCATTAGGTCAAATGTGAGGAAAGAAACCTGCTGACTGCACACCAGGATTTCAAGATGATACGCATGGAGCAGTACCAGGATGCCTAAAAATGAGCTGTAAACCTGGTAAAGCTACAACACGGTACCAAGCAGTGTAAACAGAATGCAGTAGACAGCCAAATGATTCCGCAACCAATGAATCAGTTCAAAGCACTGTAAGCCTGTCACGTCTAGTTTGAATAGTGTTGAACAATTAAGCAACTCACTAAAGGAGAGGGCTTCATAAATACCTTCCTTCATAATGATGGAGGCCCAGCATATCAGTGCAA